CCTGCCTGCAGTCTCACAGAACAGCAGCATTATAGAAATAAATTATATTGTGTGCAACAATCATGATCACAGTGGTCAACAGGAAACTGGTATTGAGCTATTTTCATTTTTATTGATTTCCAATAACTGATAAACTTGGGTGGTGTTTTGGACTTGTGAAGAATAACTTATAAAGATGGCTCCCTCCTTAAGTAACTATCAGCGTGAATAAAATTTTGCTTCTTACTGCAATCTACATAATTTAGGTAGAATACAAAAGAGACCACAAGTCAGCTTTGCCAGGAGCTAATTTCTTGAAAAATTGTGTTCCCATTTCCTGTTCTTGCTTTCAATATCTTTGATCTGAAATATAAAGTATCTGTCTCATGCACATCAGAAAACAAGCATGAAAATAATTTAGTGTCCAATGGGGTGACTGTCATCAAGCTGGCATGAAAGTCAAGTCATCCTAAGCAGCTAGGGTGAAAGAAATGCTAAGAATTCTTGGCTTACATTGGATTCACTATGTTTACTATGTTTTCTCCCAGATAGCATCAAACCATATCAACTGTATTTTTACCAAGAGAGTCTCTAGAAGTTGGCTGGGTATAGGGTATATACAAGCAACAATGAAAGCAACTTTACTAAGATAATAAAAGTTGTTGAAGTGAAGAAGAGAGATGACAAGTTTTAATTATGCACCAACATTTTAGCATAGGAAAGAGAATTGAATTAGAAGACTGGCCTATTTCAAGTTTGAAAAGTCTAGTGGAGCACTGGGGCTACATAAAATAAAGAGATATCAGCAGAGGGTGATTTATGATTTTTTTTTCAAATTTCATAAAATTTCAGACAAAAATGCCCAGAAAGTGTGAAAAGAATAAAGAAATTCTCAGGCCAGTTAATGTATAAGTTCATCTGTTATATGATGTTGATTTATAAATTTATTTATTTTTTCTTACTGAAAAGGATGAGCTTTAATTTTAGGAAAAAAAAAACCCCTGAAGAAAACTTTAATTTTTAGATCAAAGGCTGAATTCAGTATCTCAATTTTATTTCTATTCACTTTTGATTACCAAAGCATAAATGCTTAAAATTTAGTTTGAACATTTTTAGTTAGGTTAATAATCTGGGTTGTTAGGTAAAGAATCCTTGGTTAAGCAAAGTGTTTGAAAAAAAAACTGAAGAAGCAATACTAATTAACCTTTCTTTGGTTGAACACATAAACGTATCAACCAACTGGCCAACCAATCAACTGACAAAAATAACTCACAAAGGCTGCCCACTGGGAAGAATCAGGGTTTGGGAAGCACTTAGGTGGGGGATGTGCCTTCCCCATCTGCACTACTGAGCCTCACGCAATATTAAGTAACTAACCAAATGCTATTGTGACAAAGCAGAAAACAGCATATCTGATTGGGTTCAATGCATACCATGACTCAAGCAATTTTCTAACATTTGGAGGAATGATAAGATCTGGTTAGAGCTATAGATCATAGCCAATGTGATTCCTTTTCTGAGTGCCTACTGTTATGAGGTTGCATCTATAGAAACGTTTGTGAAAGCTTTATATGACGCTTATGATACCGAGGGTAGAACAATCTAGCTATTTAAACATTCAGAGTTTCATATTGTGGCTCATAAAGAAGACAGCCATAATTTAATACATGTATTTTACAGAAAAATGCTAGGTAAGTTTCTCACATACCCCAGGCAAGAATTTTGGCTGGATAATTAAGATTTTACAAAGGGGGCATGATACCAACAAAGATGGCAAGTGTTCAGAGGCACCATGCTGTGGGCAGCAAAGGGAGGAAAGGGCCTTTTGGGCCTGGCTTTGGGTCAGTGCTTGCAATAATATTTGCAACAGTGATGAGATATATTTCATAAGCTTATATAATGTTGCTGCCCCTTTTCTAGTAGTGATGATAAATTTCCATTGATCCAGCCATTTTTTTTCTATAAATTAATGCATTTATAAGAAAATAATCTAGGTTTAGGGATAAAGTTATAATCAATGAAATGAATGAGGTGAATTATGTTATTTGAACCATATTCTACCTAATTGCTAAACAGCATTGCACGTGAGCCTGCGGACACACACACACACACACACACACACACACACACATTTCAAAGGGTTAAGGAGAGTGCCTTTGAGATTCCCTCTTTTTGTTTAAGGGAAAAGTGAATCAAGGATATAACTGGAAGTGGATATAAGAAAAGAGGATACAGCAGATGGCGGTGGTAGCCAGTTATACACTCATAAATCTGTGTGAGTCAGATCACCCGGATGTCAAGACTTCAAAGATACACCCTAGTGCCCTTTGAAGATCAAAGGGGGATGCTTGTAAAGGACTCCAGGTTGAGCAATGCCAGGAGTTTCTGGCGAGAATTCTGAAGTGGTGATTTCAATTCATCCTCATTCTGCTTTATCTTTCTAAGATCTGTCACAGAAGACTGAAAACCCAGGCTAAATAAAATATCTGCATGGCAAACTTCCCTACTTTCTTAACATAGATCAGTACATTCTTGGCTTGTTTAGGTTTTAATCAGATTTTAAGAGGGGAAGTTGGGATGGAATAGGAGTGAGAGTAGGGCCCTAGGTTTTTATTTGGTTCCATTCCAACCTTAGGAAGAAAAGTACCTTTAACTTATGCCTACACTTGGCTTTGTGGATTTCTATCAATTTTGGGTGTAGACATGGTTAAGAAGTAAATAGTGGATCACCACTAGCAGGATCAGTGATAGAAATGAAGCACTGATACTATGAACTTGGTTTTTAAATTCTTCTTCAATAAGAATTAGACTGCTCTCTTTAGGGAAAAAAAGGCCCAGTTGAACAGAAGGGTATGTCCTCAAATCTTTTGATATTACACTATGGTACAGCCTTGTGGCATTGTCTGGCCTGACCAAGTTAGTGCTAATGATCATTCCAATGGGCACTTTCATTAAAAGTCTAAGAAATCACCATCTGGGGTCTTGGGCAACAGCAGAGTCAGACAGAGAAGAAAATCCTCGGGGTACTCTTCACAGATGAGTATATAATCTATACTGGTTTGAGGCCACAAGATCAATAAAATAAGTGGAAAAGAGAGGAAAGAGCTGAGAAGTCCAGCTCCAGTTGGAAATTCTCAATGGACTCTCTTGAACCCTCAGAAGACCTCTATCTCCACTGAGATGTATGGCAAGAGGATTTAGTGATGGAGGAGAGTGACCAGCAGTCTAGCTATGGATCTACCACTATGATTAGTGATTGGGGGCCAGGATACTGACCGTACACAGTGCCCAAGCTGATTGACATACAACCTTATCAGCGAATGCTCCTCAGCCACAAGGCTGGCTGCACTTAGCCCCTCAGGTGACCTGAGGGAGTCAGACAACGAGACCTCATTAATACCTCCCCTGGACAGAGTGAAGCCCACTCAGAGAGGAAGGAAGTTCAGTGTACACAGCTTTATTAAACAGCACCTTAAATCAGACACCAGGGGCCAAACTCCCTGGTGACAGAAAGAAGTGAAAACTCTCAACAATGTGTCTGTGGTTCACAGGGGGCATTCCAAAAAGACTGAAAATGGGAGAAAAGGGAAATGATCGTGTTTTGGGTTAATAGGTACCATGCACCCTGGAGGAACCAGAACAGCTCAAAATGTTATAGGGAAATTTTAGAGTAGAAGAAGCCATGTTATCCATCTAGACGCATCCACCATAAGCACCGTCCGAGCTGAAATGATATAAAATGACCTTCAGTAAGGATGGAGTCGCACTCTGCCTGACATTTGCAGAACGTAGAGATTCCTAATAAATGCACAACATCTTTCTCAACTCATGCAGGCTCTTCTCTAGAGAGATGCACAGGCCCGAGTCTCTGAGAGATTTCACAGTTTATGATTTTGTCTTAGAAACGATGGTTGAATTTCTGGTGGTCCTGAAAAAGGAGTGAGCTAAGAGGCACACTCTGAGGGCCTATGACTTCACTGTGGAGGTTCTGTGGTTCAATTGTGTTCTCAATGCCACTTTTTACAGATGCCCATAATGTACAGGAAAGAAACCCCGTGACCTGCCATGGTCACGTTCTGCTTGTTACAGTTATGGGGAACATCTTCATCTCAGGTTCGTGCTGATGAACAAGCACAGGAACACAGGAAATATAACCAGCGGGGTCCTGAGTCTCATTGTGCTCACGTCCTCACTAGAATGTACCAGGATATTACAGTGCAATTGGCATCTCAGCCACCTCTTTAGGGAAAAGACTGTTTATGTGTTTTCGTAAAACATGAGACTGTATTTTTTTTCCTATTGAAAAGCATTTGCAAAATCTTACAAATAGCTCCAATTACCCTTTGTTTCTGCTTTCCCATGGGCCTTCCCCAGGTATTTCTACGAAAATTCTCCGGTGCTTTATTTGTGATCTCTGATCAAATGTCTCAGAGCACCTCTTGGCCCCTGTGTATTTGTAACACTGGCCCTAAACAAAGTACTGGATTCACCTGCCCTTTGCTCATAACGGAAGTGGATCTTGTTAAAGAAGACGACACATATCCACCTTTGGTTTAAGTCCAATAATCCATGACATTATTGTGTGGAAACTACATTGCCAAGTTTGGTCTTCGGCCTCTCGCCTCAGAGACTCCAGAGCTCACCAAGAAGAGGGTTCTTTTATATCTGGAGCTTTAAATTAGGAGATAGTCCCCCAGTTTCCTGGCTGAAATGGACCTTTCTAAGTGCTATGAAAGTGACTTTCTCAATGAAAAAGAATGCATGCATGTCAATAGCAAAATGTAAACTTCTGCATTTACCGTGGGTGCACTGTACATGTACGTTTCTAGACGACTTTAACCACAAGAGCCATCCCATTCCTCTTTCAATGCATTCAAATGAATGAAACAGGGAGCCATGTGGCAGAAGTTTACATAACTAGAGTCTTCCTCTCTTGGCTTGCACTAGAATATTTTTCTTGCCACAGAATCAAGGCTCATTACCAAAGAGAGGGCTTGTTATGTCCTTGGACTGGAACTTACCTCCTGGTGACGAAAGGACTTCCTGAGGAGGGGACAGAGTGGGAGAACAGGGTGTCATTCATGCTGGTTACAGGTCTGGGTGGCCTAAAACAAAATACATGAGGATGAAAAGTTAAAGCAAGTATAAGTCGCAGGTTAAAAACCACCCACCACACCATCCCTGGAGGTGGGGTGGTTGGGGGTGGTGGTGGGAAGAGCAGAGTTCTATCGTAACCATTTTCCAATGAAATTCTTCAGATGTTTGAAAGTTACATTTCTTTGCAAATATAGAATCTCAAGTAAATATTGTGAGGCCGGTCTCTGGACACCATAGGAATGTCTATGCATGAGCTCTGAGCCTTGCATTTCATTGAGCTATACTCTCGAAGGGAGCAAGGTTTTGAGGCAGCCTTATATTTACTGACTTCTAAAGAGAGAAGCTCTGAAAATATGATAGTGATCAGAATGTGCATCTTTGTGCAAAGAAGAGGATTTCCAAAGCTCTAGAAACTTCCTCCCGAATTCCCCGTGAAAATGGTGCTCTTCCAGCATGCCCAGTCTGAAAGGACCAGACTAACGAAGTCATCTTGTGCTTTATCTGCTCTTTACTGTAAGTGAAGATGCAAGTAAGCACCACAAGTATGTACTGACTTTTTGTTACCTGGCTGAGCCATATGTAGGGCACCTGGCGCAAGGCATCCCATAAACTTCATTTTTTTTTCATATGGTGGGAGAAAAAAAAATAGTTTCAACATTCCTCAAAATTGTCCATGTCCCTAAACACCAACTCCTGAGGTCTGTCATCTCTGTCTGATTTTTCATTTCATCCTGTCACTGTTTCACCATTGCTAATGTCTTAGTTCAGGTAAAATGAAAGTGCTACGTTCCCTATCTCATCTCCAAGCAGTTTTTAATCTGATTTTAGGTTTATTGTAAGACAATACTTGGTAAAATGAGATGAGTTTGACAGTTCAAAAGGTAGGGGAGGAGGCAGGGCATCATTTTGAGTCAGAAGACATTTTTATTTCATTATAATTCCATATTTGAGTAGAATTATTTGAAGATGAAAAATTAATTCTAGCCTACAGAGTCTACTTGTGTTTGCTTGAACAAGAGCCAAACTTGTAATGGTTTAATTTTTATCTTAGGGAATCAGAGCTAGTTTGCCTTGAACAGAACACTTTCACTTTACAAGAAGGATACTAATTTTATGCAAATGTCCTCTGTGAATTTTCAGAAGTCAGGAATATCAGATTTTAAAACAGTAAACAGAATGAAATAATGAAATATCTTACATTGTAGCTTTGGCAAAGTTGAAAACAAAATAAACTAGATCAACATTTGTGTATGTTTTGTTTTTTATTCTTTTTTTTTTTTTTTTTTAAACGTTCTCATCTTGCTTTCTCTCTAGGCAAGGAGAAAACAAGTAGATTTGCAATGCTTTTTAACTAGCCTGGTAAATTTACTTTATTAAATGTGGTCATTGTAAAGTTGAAAGTTGTAGTTTATTAGTGAATGGCTTCATGTTTAAGATTCATCATAAAAATGTTCAACTTGGGACACAGAATGGCTAACCTTGGGAGTAAATAGTGGCTTTCAAAGGGACTAACGTTCCCATTTCCTCCATAGTCAAATGGCAAGTCACCTTATTTAAAAATAGGTCCATTGAGAAGTTTACATGTATTTACTCTTATAAGAAAGAAATAGCTCCACAAGATAAAGCCACGGGGGGCTAGTGCAAGATTTTCTTCCAGAACAAAAATCTCTGTAGCAGACATTTTTATAAAACTGCATTCTCCTAGTAAATTGAGTGTTCAGCTCAAGGCAGAATTAGTTTTAAACTACCCTCGAGCCACTCACTTGTTTTGTGTCTCATAATCACTTATAATTATGATTGTAAGTTTTTATAAGTACATTGGGGCGGACTGAACTACTTACCAAGTATCACTTTGGGCAGCAAAGGATTGAATAGAATAGAGACTGTTAATCATGGCAACATTTACAAGCAATAGGAGAGCTAAGTACAAAGGTCAAAATACCAAAATGTCACCCACTTAAGCGGTCATTATGTGCTTATAATAATTTATAGCAGCTAAGTGAACAGCATATTTAAAAATTAGAAGTCTTAGGTATCCCCACCCTAAAACATAAATAAATAAAAAGAGGATCTGGATGTCTGTTCAGGACATTAACATTTGAATAACAAATAGGGAGAGAAAAATCTCTAAGGCCAAAAATAGAAAATAATTCTGTTCTAACAGAGACTGAACAGTCGGCATCCAGAATTTCTTACATGTTATTACAACAATAAAATATTTTTCACAATTTGCAAATGAAGACATTCACCCTGGAAAATGTATTAACAATGAGGCTAGATTAGTCTTTTCATTTAAGGGCTATTTTGAGTATTCGGTTCAATCTATAAAACTTTTGTCAGAAGAAAGGGTGTATTTTGTGTAGTATTTTAAGGGAATCCTAGAACCCAACTTGTGTAGATACAGCCCTCACTTAGCTCAGTTAATAATATATCAGATCATATTGCCACTATAAATTAAAGTTAAAAAAAATTAACACACACACCAACCGTGAGCCAACTGGGTACAGTCTGGCAGTAGGTGACATGCAGTTGAAACTGATTTTATTCCACACTGCCTCACCTCCCAATTCTTTCTTGAAGAGGAAGGCAGCATCCTACTTCCGTTGGATTGCAAAGCCCCTATAGCCAGGCCATTCACATCCCAGACTCTATCCTCACCCCCGGCAGCTGTGATTGGATTGTGTGCTGGGGCGAAAAGTTCTGGCGGGTCTGGTAGAAATAGGCTATGGCAGAGCACAGAGCACAGACCCACCCACCCCCATTTGGTTTCGTTTATTCTTAGGGATTGTCTCGCTCTGGGAAGGAAAGCTGAGACCTTAGTAAGAGCAGCCTGCGTGAGGTCATTTTCTGAAAAGTGGTTGGTGCTTTGACACTCTCCTCATTGGTTTACCCCTGGTTTATTTTTAGTAGCAAAATTTCCAAAAGTAAGTTAACCGCCTTCTACAGAACCAGTTTACATTAATTTTCGGATGCTTAGTCCATGCCGGCAACAGGAGCCTCCAGACTGTATTGCTGAGAACCGTGAACCCTCAAAGCCCCTTGGGATTAAACCAAACAAAGCGCTGGAGTATTTATCCCACATTCAGGGTCATGGTACTTGCTTGGGTCCATCAGAGGCAAGTTACTGCTTTCGAAGGGCCTGGGGCTCACAGCAGTGCTGCTTGCGGGCCACGTTCTGAGCTGCCTAAGCATGAGCTTGGCCTTCGTGACTTCCTAATACCCCAGGTCTGATCTGCCTAACTGATGTCAACACATAACCATAGGCTCTGAAGTGCCATGGGTCCTGCTGAACTTGCAAACGAAAGGTCAAGGCCATTCAGAGGAGGGAACCACCTATTCCCGAGGCACCTGTGACTCCATCATTCCTAACTGAGCCTGGGATAGCACCAAGGAAACAACCGCCCCTCCCCTGCTGTCTTGGCCATGGGCTGCGAGAGACTCCAGTGCAAGGGAGGAGGGGTGAGGGGAGCCTGTGCCCTGGCCCAGGCTCACACATACTTTGGAGAAATATTTTTGAAACGTCTTCTTTTTAGATGTTCTGATGAATTTTTCCACCAATCCTCTCTTTAACTGCATCCCCCCCCCCCCTTCTCCCCCCTCCGGCCATGATCCTTCTAAAGTTATACAGCTTGGGATAAAACAACAATTTCCAGGTTTACTGTCATCATTAAGATGACTGGCTCTGCAGAAAAGTAAAACAGAGGGCTTTTTTATGTTGGACTCAGCACATATGACATTAAGGCAAAGTGTACTTTAGTATTTTCTTACCCCGGTAATTCCATTGATCGTTAGCTTCCAATTGTGCAAACTCCACTCACATCATATTTTATAACAATGCTATAATTCACCTTTAGGTGAATTGCATTAGTGCTGCACACTCTACTTGTTCAGCTGGGCATTTGTACTGTATTCCTCTACCACAAACATTATAATGATATTATATTCAGTCTTTGTTTTCCGATCCTCACCCAAAATATTATTTTCTGATATTTTGAGAGAGAGAGAGAGAGAGAGAGAGAGAGAGAGAGAGAGAGAGAGAGAAATAGAGAGATGTGATAGAAGTGGAAGGCAGCATCCTGACCTGGGATCGAACCTGAAACCTAGGTATGTGCCCTGACTGAGAACTAAAACGCAACCTTTTGGTGTATGGGACAACACACCACCCAATCAAGCGACCAAGCCAGAGCTCATTCAGTCTTATTTTTTTAAATTAAAATTTTTAAATTAAATTTCCTGACAACTGATATGAAACTGCTTTTCTATGGATCTGCCAGTAAAGAAAGATTTCTCTAGAGCACTGTTTCCAAAACTTTTGACATATGTGTACCCCTTCTATAATTTTCGTAACGCTGAGTACCCCTCGTACTCATGAGAATGTAGAATTAGGCGCCGCTTAGCATGGTGCAGTGCATATCCCCACCAAACTCTGGTGCAACGCCTACCTACACCAAACTCTTCCCGTACCCCTAAGGGTACGCGTACCACACTTTGGGAAACACCGCTCTAGAGGGAAGGTGGTGGGTGAGGGAGTAAGAGATCAACCAAAGAACTTGTATGCATGCACATAAGCATAACCACTGGACACAGACAGCAGCCCCTTTTGAGGGCATGTGCTGGGGGGTGAGTAGGGGCTGCTGGGGAGAGGCCAATGGGGGGAAAAGGAGGCTTATGTAATACTTCAAACAGTAAAGAATTTAAATGAAAAAAGAAAGATGTCTCTTAATGTAGAGGCAGAGACACTCACACGATGTGGGCCAGGTTGAGTGGCTTCTCTGGCTGGTCGGGGAACATGGGGTGCAAAGGCTCACGGCTGGAAGCACAGCTCAGGGACTTGCTTAACGCATTCGTTAGCTTCTTAGCTGGTGATTTCTGCAAAGAAGAAAGATAGAGGTGATAGCAACTAACGTTTATGTAACTTTTGTAGATGATTTGCTCTCACAATAGATCATTCACTCATTCATTCATTCATTCATTCACTCATTCAAGCAATGCTCTTTGAGTACCTACTCTAAGTTGGGAGTCTGCTAAATAAGCCAGCAAGGTACCTGGCTCCTGCTGCTTAGTGAAACACGGGCCCCTGAGCGGGGCCTTCGTGGACAGCAGGAGTCGGTCTGACAGAAACTCAGGGGCTGGGAAGGTGATTCCAGGTGGAGGAAGAAGAGGCAAGCAGGAGGCCGATCATTAAAGTCCTACCAGGTCACATAGGGGCTGTGGCCTTTATCTCCAATGCAGGGGGAACAATGACGTGCTTAAATCATGGAGGCAGCAGCATTGGACCGGATTCAGGAAGGACTGCTCCCCCCTCAGAAAGAAGGAGGGAGATGAGCAAAAGGTTTTGCAGGAACCCACCTAACTAAAGGCAGAAGTGGAATTTCAATTTGAGTCTTTTTTATTTTTAATATATTTCTTTTATTGATTTCAGAGAGGAAGAGAGAGAGAGAGAGAGAGAGAGAGAGAGAGAGAGAGAGACATCAATGATGAGAGGGTCATTGATTGGCTGCCTCCTGTATGCCCCACAAGGGGGATCAAGCCTGCAACCTGGAATCGAACCATGACCTCCTAGTCCATTGGACCATGCTCAACCACTGAGCCATGCTGGCTGGGCCAATCTGAGTCTTGAGAATTTAAAATTCATGTTCTTTTCAGTGTATCAAGGTACCTGTTTTTCATTTAGATTGGTGGGATGTCTACCTTAAAAGTCCACGGTCAAAATTATAAAAAACAATTTACCACATATAATAAATCTTTATAAAACATGCTTCCTTTCCAGGAGTAACCATTTATAATTTTCTTCACTTCCTTTTACACAGAGAACCCATAATTGGTAATATGTGGCTTTTATCCTCATTCTTGAAAAGCCGAGCAGTGGGAGCACTGTTCAAGAAGTTCCACTTTGGCTTTTGCTAGGAAATGTGATTCTTAGGACACTTACATCAGCAACACAATAAAGCTCTTCACTGCATAAATATTGGGGCCCCTTCATCTTATTGAGGAGTCTAATCTGACTTGAGCAGAGACACTGCCCTCCTAAATAATTTTAGAATCTTCAGTCCCTAAGAAAAAGGCCCCTTATCTGGTTTCAGCATTTACATAGAAGAACAATTAAAAATGATTAGTCTTCAAACACTGACCCTCCAGAATTTGGGATAGAATACATTTGAAAATTGGTACTATGTTGACAATAAAAAAAGAGAAAGTGCTTTCTTCTATGTTCTATACTAACATGTATCTCATCATTGGGGTCAGTATATCAATCCTCAGCCCATGATGTGACCACCAGTGACTGGGGCCTGGGAGCTGGCATGAAGCCCTCAGCGTGTGACATCTCAGTGAAGAACTGTCCCTTGAACTCAGAGCCTGACAAGTGATAGGCAGTTGATATACATACACTGACCATGAGTTCTCAATTACAACGCCTGGAAAGAACACTCCAACTTAAAATGCATACTCTGAAGATTTTCCTTTTTTTTTTTTTTTAAAGTAAATTACTCTTTAAGTAAAGACTATCTGTTGAATTGAAACACGTAAAAATATAGGGAAAAACTCATAAAAAGTTTGCATTTTCTTGTGGGAGAACTACTTTAAGAGGAGTGGGCAAGGCTGAGGGTGTGTCTGTCCCATGGAGCACAGGGAACACCACCCACCATTGGAGCAGCAATCTCACAGCAGCAGCTCCTCCCTAAGACCCAGCGGCATCTGCCCCAAGGAAACATCCAGCACAGGGACAGGCGCTGCCGGGTCGCCTGCAGGAAGCAGCTCACCTGCACCATTCACCAAAGATGATTTGCTAATGAAGCCACAGGACCCCCTCTTCCCCAAAAGGAACATGGCACAGCATCATTAAGCCCACATGCTCACATGTCTTCCCTCTACTTTTTAGTTGTGCACCTAAGACAGTGGTTGGCAAACTCATTAGTCAACATAGCCAACTATCAACTGCACAACGATTGAAATTTCTTTGGAGAGCCAAATTTTTTTAAACTTAAACTTCTTCTAATGCCACTTCTTCAAAATAGTCTCGCCCAGGCCTTGGTATTTTGTGGGGCCAAAGAGCCGCATGTGGTTTGTCGGCCACTGATTTAAGAGAACTCCAGAATCTAAGACAAAAGAAACTAGCAACCATTTTCAAGCAATTCCCACAAAACACAAAAAGTGGCAAACCAAAACAAAAACCTATCAAGGTGGAAAAGAACCTTCCAGAGGGTGCTTGCTATTTGGTTGTTAGTTAAATCAGTTCTGAGTGAACTACGTTTCCAGAAGTAACGGAATTTGAGTCTTCCTATAGTTTAAGTCTCAGGCAGCTACACTGGGCTCAGATACACTCTGTCAGAGATCCCGGGAGGAGGGGTGGGTTAGGAAGGAAGGGGAAGAAGAAATGTTGACTGCAGGGTGAGTGTGCTCCTGACTTCTGTCACCCTCCTTGACATTCTCTTGCATCCTGGATCGCATGCACATATCCGACTTTAAGCATTGCCTGGCCCTTGCCTTACCCATGACGTGTACTCTTTCATTTGGTGCTGGTTGCTATGGGAACCCCCAGCATGTCCCCTCCAGAAGCAGTCCTGGCAGAGCTGGTAGTTGTGACACTGTTGGCATCGGTAGCGGAATCCCATCATGCTCTCGCTGTGGCAGAAGGAACACTCCACCGGGTGGAAGACTGCGGAGGCAGCAAAGGAAGAGAAAATAAGAAAACCCAAGTGCGAGCCAGGATAAGGACAAACACGGCCTGATGGGGTGGCGTTTCTCTGCCGGGTACCCTGACGCCAGATGACAGTCGGGTTGGGCTGAGAGAAATATTGTGTTTATCCCAGGCACCTCACTGCCCTTTCCAGGCGCGTGTGCGGAGGTGGAAGAAATGAAAGGAGGGGGAGGATGGGTGTTCTTTTAACAACAAGTTTCTGTAGTGCCACTTGCTCTTTCTATTCCCATCTCTTACACCAGTTGTCGGCAAACTGTGGCTCCCTAGCCACATGCAGCTCGAGAGCCATGATTTGCTGCTCTGTTGACTAATGAGTTTGCCAACCACTGCTAGATTAAATATTACCATGTAGTTGGAAGCTGTGAGGATTAGGCAGTTGTGGCATATTGTGTGCAAAGAGGTAAAGGGTAGTATATGACAGTGGTTGGCAAATTCATTAGTCAACAGAGCGGCAAACCATGGCTTGCAAGCCACATGAGCTGCGGTTTGCCGACCACTGTTTTACACTACAATAATACAAATGACTCATACTGGCCCGTTTCTTCCTCCTCCCCCTAACTCCCACCTCCAGACTGCTCTCTGTCTCCAGGAGGCCAGCACAGTCACTGGGAAACTCAGCACAATTGATGAACATGGCTGACCATCCAGTTGGGAGAGAGCAGAAAGGGAGACATGAGGAAGGAGAGGGAGGAAAAAGAAACGAAAATGGAGGAAGAGCAGGAAAACTGGATGAGAGAATTAAGTTATTTTTTTTAAAAATGAAGCAGCTAAAGGGCTTATTTAATGAGTGACATTGCCTCCATCTAACAAACAGATTTGTTTTCTTTCCAAAGAGGCAGATGAGCAGGGCCCAAGGAGACAAGTAAATGACCTAAAGACAGTTCCAGTTCAGACAGCTCAGGAGACATGACTGTCTTTGGCAGAAAACTGGAATCACGAAGCAGGTAAGGTAAAATAGTTGACATTGGAAGCTAACAAATGATCAAATCCAAGTACCTGTCTCTACACTATGAGCTAAAGATTGTAAACAACAACAATTCTTGCCTTTGGCCACATTATTCTCTGGCTAATCAGCCAGGGAAAAGAATGTACATGGAAATAAATGAAGATAAAAAACCAATTGTAACCACAAAGGCATAACCAGCTCTGGAGGTACTGCCTTCTGACTAAGCATCAGTCCTCATTTTTCTGGCTCCTGGGGAAGGCAGGGTGAGCCCTGGATTACAGACAACTGCTCTCGGGGACAGGCCTGCAAAACCCATTTCCTGCAACAGGAAGTACTGAACTTCAGGGTGAAATTACAGCCTCGTGATGGAAGGTGACTAGCTCTCAAATGTGAACAGTAACATGGACTCAGGTTGCATGATCTGACCTTGATTGCTCTTTGCTTCTGCGGATGAGTAAGAAACATACAAAAATAAACCTATGCTTGGTAGTGATTACAGAGCACCTATTTAATTCATTTTAAAAAATCTTCTCCATGAGCAAAGCAGGAAACATTTATAACTTTTAACTAAGCTAATAAGGGCAGATGCTAGATATTCTGAATGGGAACATAAACTTAAGCTAACTTTACCTCCAATGTATATTAAAGAAATGTGTAGGAGTTAAGATTCTAGGTAGAGATATGGAATAAATGACTTTCTATTTAAGTCTGGAGAAATCTCAGACTTAAATCAAGAAACAAATAAGAACATCTAAAGATTAGAGAAGGTGGCACTGAATTGCTCCATGTTTAAATGTCTTTAAATCACCTTCTGATTTAAACTTGGATGTATCAATATTTACTCCTTTAACCCTAGAACAGTGGTCGGCAAACTGTGGTTTGCAGCTCTGTTGACTAATGAGTTTGTTGACCATTGCATAAGGCATTACTCTTATCCGGATATTTTGACTTCAGGTAAAAGATATTAGTACATCATTAAAATGTTTTTTAAGTAGTATTTTTCCCTAAGGCAGTGGTCGGCAAACTCATTAGCCAACAGAGGAGCAAACCACAGCTCGTGAGCTGCAATTTGCCAACCACTGTCCTAGAAAACTTGCTCTTGTAAAAAAGTACATTTCAGAAGTCTGCATGGCTTTTGTCTTTAACATAACTACAACCACTGAAATATAATTCGGAGCACATGACAAAAGATGAGTAAGTTTCTCTCATCCAATTTTTTCCTTTCTCCTCCACCTGTTCCTGGCCCAGTGCCTAGGAAGACATAGTCAATGCCAAGATAAACCAATATTGGAAATCCAGACTTAAAACAAATAATAGAAAAGATCACATTCATTACTGAGATTTTTCTGTTGTATCGGAGAAATTCCCCCCTCCCCCTCCCCCCCAGAGAAATCTTTAAGCCACATCTGACCTGTAACTGCGGGATACACAGGGAGATGACATGAGCTTTTTGCACTGACCATCTTAACTTGGCCGTGCACCCATAGGGCCTTGTTAAAGATCAGGGAGACCGGTTAGTTGCATCCTAAACAAAACTTGGAACAACAAATTCCATCTCCCTAAAACCATGACCCTAATAACCATAGGGTTGATCGGCTAATTTCAATGGTCAAAAAGCCTGCCTGCGCTCAGCAGTGACGACTCACCATTCTCTACATTCGCCAGTCGATGCAGAAGGGGCAGCCAGACCAGACACTGCGGGGGAGGATCTGACATGAGCGTATCCAAGAAACCGTTTAACGTGACCTTTTTCTGCACAAAAAGCAAAACACAGTAAGAAACCACAACACAGTAATTGCGAACAGAGAATACGCTTAATTCAGGTGCTCTGCAGCTCTCGTTTGGGATGGAACGGGACGTTCAAGGAGCCTCTAACGTATGAAGAAACAGAACTTGAGACTACGTTCGGCAGAACTTTAAACACAGAGTGTGTTTTACACGTATACACACAACTGAATGATCTCCACTGAGGCCGGGGCAAGACGGTCACGCAGAGAAAAACCATTCTGGGAGCATTGCTTTCCCAGGTGAGGGACATTTCCATCAGATGCCACCCAGTTGTGGGTCATGACACCTGCCACAGTGCCACACCCGTCTCCTGCATGTGCTCACCAAGCGGCTCCCCAGGCTAACAGGTAGCAACTTCAGGTAAAGGGACAGAGCCCTAGAGCCCTCAATGTCCCGTGTCCTGGAAGATTCAGGTAACCGAGCCTCTCATCTTTTGGGCCTCCCACACAGCAACATGGCAAGGGCCATACTTTGTCATCTTCTTTGACAAACATTTGTGAAACCAGGTGGTGCGTCAGATATGTGCTTCATATGAGGCAGAGGGACATTTCAGCCCTTTTGATAGGGCAATGCTAATGATCCGGAGACTGTAGGCTTGTTGTAAGATTATATTCGACAACGTAAGTAAACAGCTTAGCATGGTGCCTGGCTGGTGGTCAGTAGACATCACCTGTCACTATGATGCAGGTGTGTGAAGTTTAGTGCCCGAGTCACAGGCCATTTGTCAGAGGCTGGAAGACAGGCTACCGGTTATCACTTGTCTGAGCACTGCCTGGAGTGACACACAGGAGGAAGGCAGCTACTGTTCGGAAGATGCTTCCTGACACACGTTCTTTCCTACCTGCTGAGAGAAGCAGGACCTGGCTGACTGCTCCGTGTAGCCGAACGAGGGCCCTTCAAACACCGCCGTGGGCAGTTTGAGGACTTCCCGCAGGAACTGGTCATAGCGTGCATAAACCATCACCCCGCTGGAGTCAGAGATCATTGAGAAAATATCTGATGGGAGAACAAGGGAAGGTACTTATTCTTCACGGAAACATTCCCCACTGTTTCAGTTCAACGTATCTGTTTCAAATAACACAAATGTGGCACACTAAATGATGTGTAGGAAAGAATAATAGAAAATCTATTTTTTTTATGCTGAAATATTTCTGGCAGGGCATTTTCTTTGATGCCTTTTTGTACATGATTCTGGCACATAGCTTTAATTAGTAATTAGGATAAGATTAGCATATTTTGATAAGACAGAGCATATAACATTGTTATTTTGGTCAATTATTAACTCATATATAACTCAAGGCAGACAATTTTGTATATGTGAGAAATATGCTGATTGTGTGTTTTTTTCTTTAATGTAACTAACTTTTTTTTGTTAATCCTCATTTGAGGGTTTTTTATAATTTTTTTAAAATATATATTTTATTGATTTTTAACAGAGAGAGAAAGGGAGAGAGATAGAGAGCTAGAAACGTCGATGAGAGAGAAACATCAACCAGCTGCCTCCTGCACACCCCCTACTGGGGATGTGCCCGCAACCAAGGTACATGCCCTTGACTGGAATCGAACCCGGGACCTTTCAGTCCGCAGACCGACGCTCTACCACTGAGCCAAACCGGCTTCAGCTGAGCCAAACCGGCTTTGGCCTCATTTGAGGGTTTTTTTTCCTATTGATTTTCTAGAGAGAGTGGAAGGGGGAGGGAGAGAAAAAGAAAGAAAGAGAGAGAGAGCATGGTGGTGTGAAGGTGGGAATAGTAGGAGTGAGGGACTCAGAGAGGGGGCTCCCAGAGGGCCGAGTGGGTCAAGGAAGGTTTCCTCACAGAGCTGAGCGCTCGGCCGGCATAGAGGACGATTAGGGGGTAGCTAGGCTTAGGAAGCCGGGTCAGGACTTGGAGGAGCTGCTCAGGCATGAGGCACTCAACCACTGGCAAGTAGCTCACTGTGTCAGGAGCCACATGGCACCTGGGAGGAGGTGAGGGGGAGACAGGGAGCGCCTCCAAAGCTCCACGAGGGAGTGCAGACTGAGTCCAGAAGATGTTGGGGAGACACTTGAAGAATTCAAGGCAGGCTAGTGACCTTCGATAGGCATGGGGGACATTCCACGAAAGGAGGGTTCTGGAAGTGAGGGGAGACTTAAACCCCCCAATAAAAGCTCAACAAATACACAGTGCCTGGTGCTTGACATAATACTGGTCTTTTCAAGAAAACCAAAGAAGCCTCCCGGAAGCCCTAGAACAGCACCTGGCATCCTGGGCTCACAGCGTTGGGTTTAGAATTCCATAAGGTCATTAGGACTACCCAGGAGCCCCGAGCAGAAATACAAATAAGTGCTCCATCTCACTAAAACAACAGGCCACAGAACAACACAAACAAACAAACAAACAACAAACAAACAAACAAAACAACAGGCTATAATCAGAGCAAAACCAATTTGTCAGGGGGACTGTATCAGGTCAGTTTGTTTAGGTTGCTGAATCCTAGGACTGCAGAGGGTGCCCGCATTCTGGGCTGCCTGTAGGTGCACAGTGCATACCCTGCATTGTTGGCCGGTTCCCAGTGGCCCTGAGCATTGGAAACTGTGCTGCAACCTGGGTTGGCTGTCCCTGTGGATGCATGTAAAAGCTGTTTTCAAAACAGCTTTACATCATCTATGGGTTTTCTACTTGTTTGGCTTTTTACAATTCCTAATTTATTTGTAGCCAATTACTCCTGCCATACCCACTTGTCCCCGAGGAGCCACCGAGGAAAGCTGAGTGGAAACATGGAAAACACCAGGGTCCTTGATGGCCCAGGACCAACCCGGTTAATGAAGGGCTGTGAGTGCCGAACTGCGAAAAACCACTCTCTCCAGCTTTCTCAAACTTACTTTAACATGTAACCCTTTCACCCAGGTGCCTGTTGGCATGGCATTAAGTAAGTGTTTGGAAATGGTTAGTCTGAAAAACACCCATGTGTCTGATGACCTCAGCATGAGTGGCCAATGGTGACCTGAGGTCAGCAGGCAAGAACCCCGCAGTTCTGGCTACTGTGCTAAAAGTCCTCCCCTGCTCACCTGGAGGAAATGCCTCTGGGACGGCACAGCTCTGCCTTCGAGCAAGTGGGGGACATCCCAAAGGAACCCAGGGTTTTTTCCTGTCTCTTCCCAAGAGTGGCCCCACAGTGTCTCATCACACTGACACTGTTTTTTTAAAGAACAACAACATTGGTTCTGCCACCTTCTAATTGGGCTATTCTCACTCAGTCAAGTCTTGGCAAAGATAGTTTGTAATTTCCTGCATCTTTCAGGCTAACTAAAGAGAGCTAAACTGGCCTTTGTAACGCCTGCCTCTGAGGGCTTCTCTGGATGCTGCCTCCATTTGGACATTCCTCGAAAGTAGGTTCTGGAAGTGAGGGGAGTGTGAGGTCATGGACCTTCCACTTATCTGCTGACGCAATGACATGACCCTCCCTGCCTTGGAGAAAGTGTGGGGGAATTCCAAAGGAATGAAGGACTCATTTCTGTGTCTTCCTTCAGTCAGCCCCTCTGGGTACTTCCAGGAGCAAGAGGCCACATTCAGAAGAGGCTGTGAGTCACAGATGATGCAGCCAGGAGGGAGCCCATGGTATCTAACCCCCCACAAATTTAGGGCAGACAGGAAGCTGAGGACTAAAGAAATGAAGCAACTTCCACAGGGCAACTCAATAAAGCAGTAGTCACACAGATGGGCTTACGACCTGGGCCTCCTAGTTCCAATCACAGCGTTCTCTTACTCAACGTTGTGACGTAAACTCATGGTATTTAGTGCAAGGGAGAGGGTTCATTTTTCTTTTCAATGGCAGCATGTCCCTCATTTTAAACCGGCTATATATGAAAATTCTTGCCCCCACACCTCCACCCTAGGCTCACTGAATCAGGAATTCTGGGAGTGGGACCGGAAATCCATGTTTTAAAAAGCATTCCAGGCAATTCTATACATCCCACTGGTATAGGCAAAATAGTCAGGCTTCACATCTGCTGCCATTTCACTTTTAAAGTATGTGATTTACTTTAACTCTCTGAGTCTCAGCTTCTTTACCTACAACAAATCAACCAACCAAAACACCCCACTGTTCTGTTGGTTTAAAACTCTACATATTAGTGACAAAGGTACATAAAAGCCCCATAATCACTCCATGTACTGTGGCTATCATGCTTTGACTGGCATCCGGTTAACTCTCAGTCTACAGTGTCTTTACGCAATTACCATGCCCCCTGCTCTGGCAATGTTTACTTTGGCACAGTTGGAGTTTCTAGTGATTTGAAAAGTACTGGCTGAGAATGAAGAAACATACCGGGAGCTTTGGCTTTGGATTACCTAAAAAAAGGAAGGCGGTCCTCCAAGTCCTTATAATGATGGACTTGTCTGTAGGGCAGTACAGTAACTTAAAAAAAAATCTTACTTTATTATCACAAAGTCTAGTTGGTAACACTCAACAAGTTATCAATAATAATAATAACTGTAAATAGAAGGAACACACGCCTTTCATTAATATTTATCTAATACAAAAATATTTCTATGATGAAATCTAAAGATCAATGAAGATCAATAAAGGTCATATTTCAGCCTGGCCAATGCGGCTCAGTGATTGAGCACCAACCTATGAATCAGGAGGTCACTGTTTGATTCTATGGTCAGGGCACATGCATGGATTGCGGGCTTAATCCCCAGTGTGAGTTGTGCAGAAGGCAGTTGATCAATGGTTCTCTCTCTTTCTCTCTCTCTCTCCCTTCCTCTCTGAAATCAATAAAAATATAATTAAAAAAGAACATATTTCAAACAACAATCACAGCATGAGGAAAGTCACAGGTGAGCAGGAATCATAGCAGGACTGAGGAAGAGGGAAATGTGGTGTGGGGAGAGAGAAGCGAAGAGAAACACGAAGAGCAACTTACATCTTAATTTGTCCATGATCTTCCCTCCACACAATGTGGCTAAAGCCATTTTGACAGCAAATACTGAAATTTTGCCATGGCCTTCCCTGTTTCATGATAATAGAAAAGAAAAGAAAAAAAAGATGTCATTTGGAGAACTTCCAGTAACAAGGTTTGACATTTTCTCTTCTGTAGAACTCAAAGGACAGTTGATGCATTATGTGAACAATCCATTTTAGCAAAGGTTGTGAATACAAGTCAACACACATTTCCTAAAAACTGTCTACTAAATGTTTTTTTTTTTCAAGAGCCAGCAGATTCTTCAAGTTATTCTTTGTATATGGTAACTGTTCAAAGCATGGACTGGTAGCCAGCCAGAAGGGTATGTACTGTTTAAGTATGGATTAAAGTCACAGAACATGAGTTTCACAAAATAGTTTCATGAATGACAATTATAAAATTTCTGCAATTTATTTAAACACTGCTTCTGATTTTTTTTTCCCTGTCAGTGAATTCCTGACTTTTGTTAGGATAACTATGAGGATTTTTTAATCACACATCCCCCTCCCCCCCCCAAAGAACATTCCTTCCCCACAAGCCAACTGTACTTAGATTGATCCACCAATTTTTTAAAGTGAGCTGGTGTTTTAAAGGGACAAAAGTAAGAACTCTGTTTGACTGGTTCTCCTCCTACTTAAATGACACCACAACTGCCAAATCTTCATTGACTTATGAAGTATAACTAACTTGCCCTTCACAAAGTGTGATACAAAGGGCATACTGTAAGAAGTATAATACCCCAGGTAATGATTTTTCTAGCTGGAATAAACTCTTTATTCTTACGTCCTTAGAATCAGAAAATGTATCATACAGAATTAGTAATTCACTGCTTTGTCATTGTTACTCTTAAGAATGACCAAAAGTTACTTAAAATAATAATGTGGTTGAAAGGTAAGTCAAATGTGTATTGACAAGGGAATAGTATATAGAATGAATCATTTCTACGAATAAGATCCCTATAGCTGACATATTAGAAAAATAAGGAATAATAAATAGTTATGTCTTTGTTCCTTACTAGACTTCAGAATGAGTCATTTGTTATTCATCGATGTTGCTGTCAGTCTTAGCAAGAGTGCCTGGAAAACACCTAGCCAGAATGCAAAACTGACTGAACCCTCTGCTAGTGATATTTATATTTCTAAGCCTGACCACAACACTATGTATTTACTCAGTGGGAATTTATTTCTCACCTCCCGGATGTGGAAGCAATGGCTATCCCCTGCACTTTTCCTGTTATGTGGGACCTACTCCTTGCGACCTTAACTTGTTTATTTGCATGTATGCAAGTGACTCAACTCCACACTGAGAGACTTTAGGGGCAGGACTGCCTTCTGAGTTGGGTGAATTTCAGTGTCTTGCACTTTGTGTCACACAGAGTCACTGAACAATAAGTTTCTTATATTAATTAATGACTATTAATCATTATAATTGGTGCTGGTAGAATTTTGAATGGCCACTCATTATATTGTTTACTACTTTTAGAGAAGGCAGCTATAATAAAAATGCAATCATTTTGTAAAAAACCACCCCATTAAAAATTATTCCATGACACCTGCATTCCCAATTGCATGAATAACTAGAAATATAAAAAATTTTATTTTATGAAATAATTATTTTCCTAAACTGAAACATGGCTCAAATAATGAGAACAGGAAAGTCTACACAGTGAGGAAGGATAGGAGTAATAAAGTCATCTTCAAAATGCAAAGAAATTAAACAGCATTATAAGTGAGACTTTAAGAGCAACATGAGTTTCTTTCAGTGATTCGGAGGGAACAATTTAACTCAACAAAGAGAATAGACCACAGATGATGTTGGAACAGCAATCTTCAAAAGATGAAATGAGAGCTCACGAGGGATTTCTTAAACCTTAGCTTTTAATGAAGAAGATATAGGGAGATTGCCAGTCCTGTACTGTTCCTGGAAATGCAAGTTTAATGCTATTAAACCCAACAGTGGTTGTACCAGAGCTATTCTGTCACATTGAAACAATAAATCTAGATAAATCACCAAGTGGAGGGCAGCTCAATGAGTGTACTGCAGGAACTCAAGGGTGAAATTAGCCCACTGGAATGTATTGTTATGCAAGCTGCTGTGCCAGATTGCAAATGTGACCCCTGTCAGCAAGAATTCAGAGGTGGCTGTGTTCAATCCACTGGCAACCCTCTAAGGCGTGGTCGGCAAACTCATTAGTCAGCAGAGCCAAGTATCAACAGTACAAGGATTGAAATTTGTTTTGAGAGCCAAATTTTTTAAACTTAAACTTCTTCTAACGCCATTTCTTCAAAATAGACTCGCCCAGGCCGTGGTATTTTGTGGAAGAGCCACACTCAAGGGGCCAAAGAGGCGCATGTGGCTCGTGAACCGCAGTTTGCCAACCATGACTTTAATGAGTTGGAGGAGTGAGTGGAACAACTGACTCCACAATGGTGAATGGGGGCACCAAAGACTTACATACAGATGGATCCTTCCTTCCCTTTTTGAACATTTTCAGTAGATGTAACAGACTGAAGGCAAGGGTTTGAGAGGGGAGAGGGAGATTTCCTAAAGGTCATTGACAAGATTCCATAGCAAAGACTACTCTTTCCTGTCATCTTGGGATCAAGGTCCCTACTTTTGTGTGCAAAAAGAATTGGCATTAAATAAAGGAGCGAGAAGCAGAGAGAAGCTGGCTCCATCCCTAGTGGGGAAATGTAGGAACTACTCTCATTAGAAATGGTCCTTCATCGGGACCGTTTGACTCGGGAACAGTCAGTGAAAACCCCGTCAAGCTCATGAGGATGGATAACAGGAAGCTTTCAGGAGTCATGTATAAATGGGCAGGAAAGCAGCCTATTGTCCCAAAGTGAGTCAGTCCGTGCAAAGCCTCCAGGAGTGAAGCGGGAAAACCCAACATGTGGGGTGTTGGCTGTCGGCCCACAACTTGGGAAGCAACCCTGCCAGAGTGTATGGCGGAGGAAAGCCATAGGTTGTCCCTAACGTTGCAGGCCAGGCAGCCTCCGAATGGGCAAGCCAGGGAAGAACTCCGAAGTTGATGCTCTTCTCTGGTCTTGGTGAAACGCGATGGCAGCCTGCCTTGCATTTCACATGCAGTCCCATGACCACCCGAGAAAGACGTCACAGAACCGGATGTTCCTGAGGTCCTGCACTTCATTGGGAATCAGTGATCGATGACGGGACCACGTAGCTTCTCTTTGTAAATTAAAGCTTTAGTGCAGCTGACATTTCAATAGCATAGAAGATACAGCAGAAGCTTAAAACAGATACTTACTATTAGCCTGTCATTTATTATTAAAAGAATAATTTTACTTTTAATGTAAACATTTTACTTATTTTAATATATATATATTTTTTCCATGCAGAGTGAGAACACAATGAATAAAGCATACTTTACTCTCTCCACCCTCCCCTCTCCTCCTCCTCTCCCCCACACACTATTTGTCTTTTTGGCATAATGGGATATGTCCCATTTGTAAGCCAATTGCCTTGAAGATTTTGCTGATGCAAACTTTCCTTTCCTATTCTAGCTTGATGTCAATAAACACCCAATTATATGGTTATATTGGTATTTAAGTAATACCTAAAAGGGTATTTAAAAGAACCAGAAAATTACCAAAGGTACAAACTGAGGGGAAATTGATTGACAATGGAAATAAAAAAAAAGCACACACCCTTGGGTTACTATATGGAGATTTGTAGCATGTATGTCTAAAAATATTGAACTCATCCTAATAAAAAGTGAGTCAGTCATTATGCTGAGATTACATGAGTTTACAGAGAAAAGCTGATTTCTTTGAACTAAGAACACATTACCTTCAGGGGAAAGTTGTCTGGGTTGGAAAATCTACTTTGACAAGAAGGAAAAACAACAAATAGAGAAGGCTAGGTCTGGGATGCTGGGCCAAGCTCACAACAGAATGTACATTTTCTCCAAATGGCTGGGAGAGTTTCTCCAAGTAGAAATTAAAGAGTCCCATGATAAATTTCACGCCCGTGAAAGTGAGATTTGAATTCTGACTGAGTCTTTTTTTTTTTTTTTTTTTTTTAACAGGTTGGACGAATTATTTCTCCAACCTGTTCAAAATCAGAAGCACTAAAATTAGAAGCTTGTCTTCTGCCAATATGTTTTAGAGAAACATTTGGTAAGCATTTTTGATAAGTAAAGGCACAACACTCAACCTGCACCATCACTTCCTCCTCTGGCTTCTCTCCTGGGAATGATTGGTTCATATGGATCACTCATTTAGTGACTCCATAGAAATGAAGTGACAATGCTTAAGAGGTTGGGGATATTTACTCACAGCCTATTGGAGAGAAAAATGAACACCAGTTGGTGTTAATAACACACACTTTCACAAAATGCAGGAAGCTCATCCTATTTATCTCTAATTCCCAGCCTATCCTAGTACCTGGCACATAGCATGCTCTTTATATGTATTGTAGGAGCCCTTTTGCAGGAAGATTCCTGCAAGCAGCTTTCCCTCTGGCAGCCACTTTGGTTTCCACTTTTCTTTCCTCTTCCTTCTAAGCTGTCTTCAGTCTTCACTCCTCCCTCCCTCAGCGTATGCAAATTAACCACCATCTTTGTTGGGTTAATTTGCATACTTGCTCTGATTGGTTATGGGTGTAGCAAAGGTATGGTCAATTAGCATTTTTCTCTTTTATTAGTTTAGACTAGAAGCCTGGTGAATGAAAATTTATGCACTGGAGAGGGGATCCTTCAGCCCAGCCTGCCACCTCTCACAGTCTGGGAGCCCTCGGGGCAGGAGGAAACCCAATGATCACGGGAAGGTAACACCCCATCACACCTCTGCTGCTGCCACTGCCAGCAGTGCAAGCCTCGGCCGGTCTTGGTTACCTGAACCTCAGGAAACCATGGGTTGCTGGGCAGCCCCATCTGAGGTTTGTCTGCACCTTAGGCTGGTTTGGACAGGTGGAAGGCTGAGAGAACTGGGGGACCCAGAGAGGCTGAGGGCACTGGGCACCACCATCTTGTGGCTGTGGGTGCCACCATCTTTGAGGGTGGGGCAGTCAGTTAGCATATTCC